ACGTTTGATTTCCATATGACGTATGATGGGATACCGTTCGTTATAAGTGTCGACGATGAAACAGGTGCGAATAAAAGAAATAAAATGAATGTATAAAGTTTATAAGTGTAAAAGTCTTCAGCTTTATCCTCATCAGAGTTATCTCTTGATCATAGTTCTCAACTTGCTGTTGTAATTCATCTGATAATATTTATATGTATAACTGTTTCATTGTACTTTTGAAATGCGTATAAAAGCTAATCCAACGGATTCAAATCTTATGAAAGGAGCGAATAAACATATTTGTTATGCTGTCATAGACTCATAATTTTGACATTAATAATATTTGATCTATTAGAATTTTTTTTGCCTATTTTATAAATATTACATATTTCTAAAAAAAAAAGAAAAAAAAGAAACAGAAAATAAAGAATTTTTCATAATAATCGTCCTAGATAATACAAAGTAATAGACAATTAAATAACTCGACGATTCGTAATAAAAAAGTGAGGTTAGGTTTCTCTTCATTGGATTTCAGATGTATTTAGATCGCAATGTAGATTGAAATTTGAAAAAAGAAGAAGAAATTATATGTCAAAAAGAAATATATATAAGAAAAATCTAGAAATAAAATAATATTTATTTTATCGTCATTAGAATTTGCGCGTAAAAGAAATCGAAAATAAGTGAAAGAAGAAGCGAGTACATATAACGCATTGAGGGTTGTAATTAAGTAGATACAGTTGATCCCAAAAGTATTCAGCCTTTAGTAAATATTTCACTAGTTGGTTCTTAATAAATATAATTTTTCATTCTATTCTATTTCCTATCTAAAATAATTATATCATAGAAGTAATACGACATGTTAAAAAATTGACATTCACCTTTTTTCAATCGATATATAATTCTTCGTAATAAATACACGGAATATCCTGTGCTGGCTATAATATCTTTGGAATCAACTGTAAATACGTTAACTGCTCGAGTGGATTTTACTGGTCATTGCATGCCGCGGCCTTGAACATGCAAAGGAAGATAACGGCTTGCGAGAAATGTAACAGGTTAACCTGATTTCACTGCATCCGCATGGTGAATATGCGCGGTGCTATAATTACCGCGACACGAGCGACACGAGCGGCGAGTATGTAACGAGCAAATGAATCGTAAAAACGTCAAATATAATATATTAGAAACGCTTATTATGCTCACTACTACTTATTATTTATAGTTTGCACTTTTTCGATCAATACACGCAACGCACAAAAGGTTTAAGATTTATTAAATAGATCCCTTCTTTTTCATGATGTATTTACTCACTTTTCACTCTCACTCTGTATATCCATATATAATAAATTCAATTCTCACTTGAATTGAGAAGAGAAGGGAAAAAAATTTTTCTTTTAGAAGAATTAACTCGCGAATTCTGGAACGCGCGTTTCGAAAAAAGAAAAAAAAAAAAAAAAAAAAAA